GATTTTTCAAACTCTGCTGCTCTGTGTTTCACGGAAACCTGGCTGAATGACGCCATTCCGGACAGCGCGCTACATCTGCCCGGCTTTCAGCTGTTTAAAGCAGACTGCGCAGAATCAACGGGGAAATCGCGCGGTGGCGGGACATGTTTTTACTTCAACGAAAGGTGGTGTACAGATGTTACAGCTTTAAAGAAGATGTGCTGTTCCGATCTAAAAGCGCTTTTCATTAACTGTAATCCATTCTATTCGCCGCGGGAGTTTCACTCGTTCATTCTCGTGAGTGTCTACATTCCTCCGCAAGCGCATGTGAACTCAGCTTTACAGAAACTCACTGATCAGATCACAGAGACAGAGCAACAACACCTGGCTCCGTGTACTGGAAGCTTGTGACACTATAACAAATTCCTTGTATGTGCAAACATACTTGGCAATAAAGCTCTTTCTGATTCTGATTCTGATCATGTAATGACATTCTTTCTTCTGTGTAACATAAAGGTTTGGAAGATGTAGAATATACATTTATTTTTTATTTTACTCTTTCGCTTACCTTCATGGACCCCCAGGTTGAAAAACTCTTTAAAGCTGTTGCTTGGTCTTTTGGTCCTGAGTGTGAGTGTGTTTTCTTGTATCACTCTGTAACTATATTTCCTGAGGAAATATCAGACTAGTGTTAATGTTTTAGGTAAAAAATAGTAGTTAGAAGATCCAAGTACTGATAGAGGAAGAGAGAGAGAGTGAGAGAGATTATAGAGTTTTTTTCACCCACTTTTTTTTTAGTGGCCTTGGTTACGTAGGTATTTTTTAAATTATCTTCCAGAAATAATTATAAGCCATGAACCTAACTTATCTGCTATGAGGCGAATCACAATATTAAAAACTTTGCTTTGAGAGTGGGCAAGCACTAAAGTCTTCTTTTGGTGTGATTTGCATGTTTTCGTTCTTGGCAGAATCATGGGTAGTGTAGTTTTTCACCAAAAATTCCACTGTTATAAACTTTTTTTTTTAAATAAGTTGAAATAAGGTGGACTGATGACTTCAAAAAATCATGTACCATTTATTAACAACCTTGTAACTCACAGTATGTCTGTCTTTAAAGCTTTATGTTATCATTTAAAAAAAAAAGGAGTTCTGTGGAGAAAATCACTGGGATTTTTCTTTAAAAAAATATGAACGTAAAATGTAAGAAAATAAAGGCCAGTCATCATGCAGTATGCAAATACCGCAATGACAGTGTTGGTTAGTGTTGGTCAGTGTGGGTGTTGGTGTGTACATGTATCGGTGGATGTGTTTTTTTAGCTTCCATGTTGCTAAACTTCTACTCCCCGGACTGAAAAAAAATCCATACTCTCTGTTCTTCCTCTCTTCTCAGGGATAAAGGAGTCAAGTGAACTTGCATTTGTGGTCTCTTAAATAATGTATGGTAGCCTCTGGCAGAACACAAACAGATCCTCTATGAACCGACACAAGTTCGTCGTTCTTTAGACCCCTATTAAAGTTCCTAAGTCCTGCACCAGATACCTGCATGTGCCACGGCAGATCAAGGGGGGCACAACTGGCACCGTCTCGCACACATTCATTGGTCTTTACGTCTTCGATCCCACAGGAGCCATTGTTAGTGTTTCTGATGACAGTTTGCCAAACCTCAACTTCTGTGCTGATTTGCCCAGTCCATTGATTTTGTTTGTCCGAAAATGTGGTGCCATTGAATTGTGTGTCTGATTACACTGGTGATGTTAATGTTTGAGAAGAAGAAAAATGCATCATTTTCAACACAAGATGAGGCTGGATTCTGATACAAATGTCAAGAGGAAACCAAATTATCTTTTCCACTTACAAAATATGCTTTGATATAACAATTGAGCTCAAGATCAGATCACAGAGGAGACTGTTAAGAGCACATGTTGAACAGAGGAAGGGTCAAACAATGTCAAGATGACCATACTGCCCCCTGTAGGACTGGTTGTAGCCTACACTTTAGAGATCACTCCTTTGGGGTCAGTAAGACATTTTTCTTTCTTTTTTTAATGAATGAAATTAACATTTTTATTTAGCAAGGACACATTAAGTTGATCAAAAGTGTCAGTAAATACATTTATGATGTTACAAAATATTTCTGTTTCAAACACTTTCTGTTCTTTTGAATTTTCCATTCATCAATCCTGGAAAGTGGCAAAGGTTTTACTTTTTGACACTTTTAAAATATCTTAAATGCAGTGTCTTTTTACTTGACTGGTTGCTTTTTGACTCCGCCCACCAATTTACTTTCGTACAAATAGCATATTACTTCTGAGTACACTTTATGTGAATAGCATCTATCACTATTTGCAGTTTGCTCTTAATTTAACCAGGATGGTATTTGATAAATAAACAGTTTCTACCACTATTTAGATTAAATAGCATCTACCTTTTTTTCACATGTTTAAAGTCTCCATGCTTAATAAACAGTCAGGAAGTCCAGCCTGTAAGCACATGAAAATGAAATTGAAAATGTCAGTCCTAGTTTAATTAATAATTGCTGTAATTGAAAATTACATACCAGACGATGATTTGGAATATGTTCCTAACGTGATATTTCTGGTCAAATGAAGAGTGGTGATATACTCAACAGACCTCTAAAACCACGCTTTAATCTGATGAAAGATGCCCAACAGGGGTAAAATATAATTAATTCACAAACAGGGAAATAAGCCTAAGTCTGGACCCACTGAAGTTTAAATCCCTTTTTCTGCCAAGATGGGCGCTTTTACTCTTTAATCCACTCTGGGTACTGATGTGGCCTGTCTCGAGGGGAAGAGAGATTTCCCCAGCATCGACCTGTTTACTGGCTCTTCAAGCCACTTGTTTTGACGTGCTATCCGCTGTGCACCTGGCAGATTAAGTGTAACCTCTTCTTGTTAATTAATTTTCAAGCGTGACAAGAGTAATTAATGCCACTTGCTAAAATTACAATTTCTTTTTTTAATACTCAAGGGTCGAGGTTTTCAGAACTCTTAACCTTAAGTACTGAACATTGGAGTAACTCATCCCCTACATGTGCTATTGACATGAATGGTACCTCAAATCATTTTAGATTTAAAGTTGAATGTTGAATGATTAATGTTTAGAGTAAAAGTTAATATAATTCATTTTTAAAGGGATAGATTATTCAAAAATGGTTATTCTTTCATTATTTACTCGCCCTCATGTCATCCCAAACCTGTTTGACTTACTTTCTACTGTGGAACAAAAAATATATTTTAAAGAATTGTTTTTGTCTGCACTGAAAAATAAAGGTTCCAGAAGGATTTTTTTTTTTGTCCATAGCAGAACCATTTTGGGTTCCTTTCAATGAACAGTTCTTAAACACTTTTATCATAGTGTGAAGAACATTTTAATAAGCTGAAGAATATTTTTCAGGCGAAAGGTTCTATTAATTTTAAAGGTTCTTCATGCAATCAAAGATGCCAATGAAGGACCTTTATTTTTAAGAGTCTGTACAATAAAGGTCATTGGGGTCCAAAACAACATTTGACCCCACTGACAAGTGTATGGACCAAAAGAAAAAAGAGAGAGAGAGAGAGAGAAAATCTGTTATTTTGTTTTCCACAGTAAAATGAAAGTCATACAGGTTTAAAAATCATGAGGTTGTGAAAATGTTTACTGAATTTACATTTTTGTTTTAACTATTATTTTAATAAAAAAATGATGGCTCCAACCTTTTAAATCTATCTAGCTATAAATGGAAAACTCAGACTCTTGCCTGTAAACTTGAAGCCCATCATGAGTAACTTTACCACTTGGCTGATGGAAAGACAAATTGAGGGAGTGAATGATGAGGGTTGTGTAAGGGAGGGGAGTGGGGTGGAACAGAGGAGTGTATTTCTATCTGACCAAAGCTCTGCAGGGTTCACGTGTGTTATTGTGCCTTGTTTCACTGCAGCTGACTGCTGCCACAACCACTTTCCTCCAATCAGGCTGATGGTAATTAGATCAAACACACTTTCGTCTTGCTGCCTGCATTGCGCGCTCCCTGCACACTTACTTGTGTTTCCCCCCTAGGAAGATGGAGTGACGAGTATGTGTGTATGAGGAGATGAGAGTAGTGAGGATTTTTATCCACTCCTTGCTTGACTTTATTGCATGTGAAAGCAGCGAGGTGAATTGATTCAGTTGTACATTTTGATGTTTCAGGCTCACACTCGTCTGCTAAACGGGGAAAGCATTACCTGGATGCGTTTCGGGCCCTCGGCACATGAATAAACGGGGCTGGAGTCTCATTATAATTTGAAAATGGCATTTGTGGAACGGAGCAAACTCAGCCGTGCTCTTAAGTGCCGTTCAAGTCTTATTTTCCTTCCACTGCCATTTAGGACCAAGCTGTACAAACGTATCTAGTAGAAAGAAACAACAAGCAGCAAAGGGAAAAAAATCAATAGTCCTCTCCCCCCATCCGCATTTAATATTCCCTCGCATCGGATCTGGCATGGTTCGATCGCTGTTGAATTTCTGAGATCCGCAGGCCAATTCATTTTGCTCAAGTCTTGCGAAATTAGACCTTGCATTTTTCAAAGTTACATTTTAATCATATTTTACGATGATGGCGGTGTGGTGTGGAGTGGAGTAAGGAAGGAAAGTGAAGGCAAAAGTAAAAGGCTTTAAAGGTTCCTGGAGCTTCGACGAGAATGACATTTTGTTCCTAATTAGTTTAATTTATTAATTAAATGCTTTGTTGTGGTTTTTCATGTTTTACACATTCCTTGCATGAATATTATAGGAAATATCTCATGTTGCCCTAAAAATTTCAAACCTGCTGCTGAGGGAGACTGAGTTTATTACCACCACAGATGTTGTGTTAAACTTTCAAATGGTGTTTAATCACCGTTTTCACGTTTCTTCTTTTCTCTTTCGCAGGCTTGTAAATTCCACTGATTCTTTCTGTAGTCCTTTTGCAACACTGAAGAAAACCTTCTTCTCTTCTCCACACACAAACCAGGCTGAGAAGACCTCACCCCCAAAAGACACTTTGCACCCTCCATTTTTGCTCTCCTCCTTTTAGACATCGTCTCTCTCTATCCCCAACCTCACAGCCTCCACCTTTTCACCAGGAACTTTCTCTCTGTCCTCTCCTTCCTTCCCCTGCACTTCCTGTCTTCTCATATCTCTGGAATACATCACGGATGGCACCGCCTTGATGCTCCAACTCTCTCTCTCTCACTGGACAAAGATATATTGGATGGGGGCAAAGCGATTGGACATTTCGATGTACTTTAGTTTCCTCTGGTTAAAGACTACTGTATTTGATCTTGTTTACTAATGTAAGGGAAGGACACAAGGCCTCTTTAGTCTGCAGTGGTTGTGTTTTCTTAGGGTGGGGTGGTAGCCAGAAGCCTTCAGAGTCTAAAAAAAAAAAGCATCTCTCTTGCGTCTTTTATTTTTGTTTTTTGTTCAATTGCATTAGTTGTTATGGAGTGGAACACAATATATCTTTATAGTAATGTGTGAGATGGTGGGGGAAATGTACACTATATATATTTTATTTTTTACCAATGTACAAATATATGAATTAACTTATGTACTTTGATCGCTTATTCTTTAATGACCCCTCACGAGAAAAAAGAAAATAACTGTATGTTTTTGCAAAATTTTAGGAACTATTTCTAATGCCATTGATGTTTTTTCCTCTTTTTTCATGTACGAGATCGTGTTTAGAGTGCGGTTCTTGAGTCTGGAGAGCGATTTGCAGACAGAGAGCAAGTCTGTCTTGTGATTCTTGATTCTGATGGTACGGCGTTTATTTTATTTTTATTTTTCTCTCTCTCCCCTTGGGTCAAGTCAAAGAGGCCAGGGAAAGCTGTTGATTCAGTGGTTTTTCTTTTTTGCGCTTGTGAGAAGACAACAAAAAAGAGAGACAGAAAAAGATAACAGATGAAAAACAAAAAATGCGTGTGTGGGTTTGTGTGGAAGACCCTGTAAGTTTTGAAAATATAAAGAAAAAGATGACGTGGTGAATGAGTTATGTCTGTCTTTTGCACTAATTTAATAAAGCTGTTACTGTCCTTCCCACCACTTTAACTTTGCTTGTTTGTTTAAAGCCTGTCTGCAGACCAAAGGAAGAAGAACCAGATTCCTTGATGGAGAAATGTTATGAAATATGATTCTATTCTTGGAGTTATAATGGAGACTGAATAGATTCCAATGGGGATACGGCTGATACAATAAACAGACCAACATATGCACATAATATTAATTGGAATTTTAAGGATATAGAAAACTAAAGCGAACAGCTTTGCAAAGTTCAAGAGTTTTGTCTATTAGGACATTATTATTATTATTATTATTATTATTATTATTATTATTTTTAAAAATACCATATGAAAATATACTGGATTCCTGATTTTATGCTGTAAATATTTCATTTTTTATTTTAGAAAAAAATAGATGTATTTATATATTGTAGAATATAGTTTTAAGTAATATACAGTAATTCATACACAAGTGCAGTTGTATAATGTAAAATTGTAAAATGAATTTATATAATTGCATGTTTACTCCTTATTTGTAGCATAAATTCAGGTATTCGTTTCTACCTTTCTAACATCTTTTCATATAGCCATATTTTACTAAGCAATGTTGTTAAAAGGGTCTAAAAATAAATACTTGTCCTACTTCCCCAATGTAGCTGCTTTAAAAAAAATGGAAATGTCTTGGTTTGAAGGTCAAGGTACACTTGCATATTAATTGTGATTTAATGAAGTAGCTCAGGCATTTAACTAGCTTTTGCATTCATTTTGAAGTCAGAAAAAAATGACTCTGGCCGTCTCAAGTCATCATCGCTAAAAACAAATATCATCTGATAATTACTCGCCAATTTGATTAACTGAAATATTTAGCTCATAGACCACCATTAACATTTCCCAGGAGATGCCAGAGTACAGTCTAACAAACTAACTCCTGTATAAATAATCTGAAAATAAACCTGTGAAATTTTGCAAGTTGCTCTCGGTTTGAAAAGTGATGCTTAAACTTTGACAAAAGAATGGGGAACTTTTGCAGCTATACTTGTTTATGAATTACCCAGTTTAAGGTCTTAATAACACGCCTTGATTGTCCATTTTTTAACCTTGTGACTACAATATAAAAGAATAATGGTGAGCCAGCAATGTAATCAGCCCCCTCCTCCTCACTCAACTGAATGAGACTCATTTTGATTTCATACTCTGTTTTTGTCCCACATCAATTCTTAATCACTCTGTATAAATACTAGAGGCACCGTCCTGGCAGAAGTTTGTTATATTAAGTCACCGCCTTTTTGTCATAACAATTACTCTTTGTGAAAACACAAACGTGCAAGACCTTGCTGAATGAGTTGAAATCAATAAATTATCATGCTTGGCCATTCGAATCTAGGTAATGACATGTAATTGGAACATGTGTTTGGGTCGATAAGTGTGCACAGGTGTTCATGGCCTCGATGAAGTTAATGGAACTATGATTACTTTTTCCAGGATTAGCCTCTGGCTTGATCTGAAAGAAAACGTCTCAGGTTACGTATGTAACCATGGTTCCCTGAGTAGGGAACGAGACACTGCATCCTCTAGGGGGCACTATGGGGAATGCCTCGTCGTGACCCGTGTCTGAAGCATACATTGAAAAAACACCAACAACACGTTGACCGGCGACAGCCATGATGTCACTACCGGTGCAACTGTAGTATAAATAGGTGCCGGGAGAACACATCATCCACTTCTTCGTCTGAAGCTTGTGTCCGAAGCATGGCAGGAAACCTAGAGGACGCAGTGTCTCGTTCCCTACTCAGGGAACCATGGTTACATACGTAACCTGAGACGTTCTCTTTCAAGGGAACTTCGAACTGCGTCCTCTAGGGATCACTATGGGGAATGGTATACCCACACCCCCGCGCTGAGGGGAGTGCATGCCAGAAAACCATGGCGAGCACTAAGTACCAACTCTACCATAGC